GTGTGTTGGACTGCAAAGTCAGTTTGATCTGCAAAGTTGGCAGTTCAGGCTCACCAGCTGCTCCTTGGAAACCCTACACAGGGTCACTATGGGTTTGAACCAACTCAACAGCACTTAACAACAAAAACAACAACATATTTGGTCAAGCATTTAATTAGCTCACCCCTAATGTGATGGCTTGGAGTTCTGGTGTGGTGCTGTGGGTTAATGCGCCAGACTGCAAAGCCATTTGAACTGCAACGTTGGTGGTTCGAGCTCACCAGTCATTCACTCCTCGGAAACTCTGTACAGGGTCGCTATAGGTCGGAACTGACTCGATGGCACTTAACAACAACAACAACAACGTGATGGCTTAAACTGCCATTGCCTTGGGAGGGCCAGAGCAAATGATTTCATGGGTCTTATATGGCCCGCGGGCCAGATGTTCCCCACCCCTGCCTTAAATCCTGTGAACAAAATAGTCTTTGGCTGACTACACATTCTGCCTGTCAGAAGGATTTTTGGAGGCACAAGATTGGAATTTTGTTTTTCAGTTCCAGGTGTATTTTAGGAATTTTTGGATATTTGAGGGGCTTATTGGAATGGCCAAAAAGATTACCAGTTGTGGTTCTGTTCCACCATAAAATGACCATATTATAGGAAGGAGAAAACCCACAGACCCTGTGTAGGCTTTCTGAGATGGTAAATCTTTACAGAAACAGAAAGCTTCCTCTTTGGACATCATGTTTGGTAACGTGGAGGGTCAGAGAAAAAGAGGAAGAGCCCTAGGGAGATGCATTGGCAAAGTGGCAGCATCAATGGACTCAAGCGTGGCAACAATAGTGAGGTTGGCCCAGGATCAGGCAGTGTTTTGTTCTGCTGTGCATAAGGTCGCTATGAGTTGGTACCGACTCGATGGCACCTAACAACAACAACCCCATTTCAAGTGGTCAGCAGCCACAATAGTGTAGCTGCCATACTGGACAGCCCAGGTCTACTTCATCCAAATACAACAACAAATGGACATCATGGGCATGAAACTTAAAAGGGCTCTGGTCATCTCCACCCCAACTCCTGAGACTTTTTACTTCCTTTCTCGCCTTGAGTTTCCTCCCCAAGCCGCCCAGCTGACTTGGCTCGCCTTTCCCCTCTACCATTCCTTCCCTCCCTTTCAAGTAGACTTCCAGCCTGACTCATGAAGACCCCATCAATATGAGAGTAGCCCCGTTGGGTTTTTAAAATTATCATTTGATTTTTATTGTTGAGAAGACACACAGCAATTGTTGTTAAGTGCCGTTGAGTTGGTTCCAACTTACAGCGACCCTGGATAGGGTTTCCAAGGAGCAGCTGGTGAGCTAAAATTGCTGACCGTGTGGTTCAAGCTGACCTTGCAGTCCAGCTCACTAACCCACAGGGCCACACCAGGACCCCCTGTACACAGCAGAGCAGACACCGGTCCAACAGTGTCT